AGATCAGCTGATGGATGGGAATCAGGGAGTCTCGGTTGGTGCGATATTGCCGCCGGTGCACTGTTGTGGTCGCAATTGGCACTTGTTGTTCTTCGACTTTCAGCAGCCCCACAGCAGAGGGATCTTCTGAGAGACCAGGCAAGGTGGACAGATGCTCAATTTCCTCAGTCTCCAAAGCAGCAATACCAAAAGCCCACTGGCATTCTTTTGGGTCTTTGAAGTACCCTCTCTTGAGGTAGTCTATGCCGAGGATGCATGGAGCCTCTGGACCAGTCACAGTAGGGTGCTTTTGCCACTCCTTCCCAGTTAGGCTGATTTCAGCCTCCAGCACAGTCAACTCTTGGGATCCGCTTGTCACTCCAGAAATATAGATGGGTTCCACCCCTTGACAGCTTGATGGCATCAGGGTACACTGTGCACTGGTATCTTCTAGAGCCTTATACTTCTGTGGGACTGATGTGCCAGGCCATCTGATCCACACAGTCCAGTAAATCCGATTGTCCCCTACCTCCACCTGGCTGGAGACAGGACCTCTCTAATGGTCATCACAGCATTGGACTCTTAAGTCATGGTAAAAGGGATTATTCTTCGTTATCACAGGAGCTGGAGTAAAATCAACTCTTCCACTCCATCTGGGAAACTGCTCTCCAGAGACTGAAGCTGTAGCTCTCATGGGATGATCAGTCTTGGCCTTTGCTCCCCTCTTCAATTCACTCACCCGTTCCTCCAAAGCTGAAGTAGGTTTTTCATCCCACTTTGTCATGTCTTCTCCTTGATCCCGCAGGTAAAACCATAGGGTACCCCGTGGCATATACCTCCTGTATCTCCTCTCTCAAACAATAGGATGCCTTTTGTTAATAGCTGAGACGTGTGTTGGTACACGTGAGGAGCTGGATAAATCAGATAGATCGTCCCTCAATTGTTTGAGGTCCTGGGACATTTTTTCCACAGCTGAGATGATGGAAGGGGTGAGATTGTCTTCGAACTCTTGGAGTTTATGAACCATTTCATCCACTGTTAGTGGTACTATGTCATTCCAGGTTACTGTTGCCAATGAATGGGCATATGATGACGGTGCATTCCCTGTAAGTTTTCGCAACATGGGTCGTGTACATTCAACTTCATCTGGATCTATGGGTATATCCCCATTATTCAGCTTGATGTGATAGATCATCTCTACGATGGCCGATTCCCTCAGAGACTGGATGCCTTTGTCTATAGTAGTCCACTTGGCTGAACAACTCATAACATCGTCCTTATATGGAAACCTTTCTTTCACAGCTGCCAAGAGCCGCCTCCAAAGGCTGAGGGACTTTTGCTCTCTTGCAATTGATTTGTCAATTCCCCCTTCTCTAGCAAGTGATCCCAGCTGCTTGGCTTCTGTACCTTCTAGTTTGTGACCATCGGCCCCATTGTCCCAGCATCAGAGTAACCAGGTGATGATGTGCTCCCCTGGTTGACGGGTAAAATCTTTTCGCATATTCCGCAGCTCAGTTGAGGTCCGAGGTCAAGAAGTTACCTCTTTCTTCTTCTTCTTCATCATGTGATGATGACTCTTGATCAGATTCTGGACCGGGTGGTGAATTCATTGTTTCTTCATCTCGCTTCACCCTTCTTGCCTCCTTTTTGCTTGTTCTCTTGTGTACAGGGGCAACCGATATTGGTATGAATTGGTCCTCTGGTTTGGATTATCACTGTGGTTTGAGTAGCAACTGTACTTGTTGCTGGGGGTGGTGCAGCTGCTGTGCTTGGAGCTGGGGTAACCGCGCTGTCTGTTGCGGTCAAAGTTTGAGCAGCTGCTGTACTTGCCACTGGGGTAGCTGCGCTGTTCATTGAGGCCAAAGTTTGAGTAGCGACTGTACTTGTTGCTGGGGATGGTGCAGCTGCTGTGCTTGGAGCTGGGGTAACCGCGCTGTCTGTTGCAGTTGAAGTTTGAGCAGCTGCTGTACTTGCCGCTGGGGTAGCTGCGCTGTTCATTGCAGCCAAAGTTTGAGTAGCGACTGTTGCTTTGCCCTCAGATCCGCCGACATTCTTTTCCTTTTGAAGGTGCTGGATAGTGTTGAACAAGGCCCTGTAAGCATAGGCCAAGCCCCAGCACGTTGCCATGATTTGTCCATCTCTGGTATGGCCAGAATGACCACACACCTCATTTAAGTGTTTTACTAATTCTTCTGGATTTTGCAGTTGTTCGGTAGTGAAATTCCAAAGTACTGGAGGGGCCCACTGACCTAGATACTTGCCCATACTATCCCACACACCCTGCCACTCATGGCTGTCCAGCCTCTGGGAAAATCTCTTGGTCCTCCTACATCGTTGTTTGACCTCAGACAAGACCCAGACCTGACTCTGCTTAACTCTTGAAATCAGTAGTGGGCAAAACACACTCTGTATGCATGCTAGCATGGTGATTCCCATCACCATCAGCAAGCAAGTCTCAGCAGCACTAAAAGGCCATTCAAAAACTTCAAAACTCTCAAATGTAAATGGTCTGGGGGGACAACTGGTAGGGTAAAAGGATGTCTCCTTCACAGGTTGAGCACCTGAGAAGGAGAAAAAAGATGTGTAATTGCTAAGCACTTCTATTATATACCTCCCAAAGTATAAAGGTGGTGAGCACATTGGGAACATAAGCCAGATCAGTTTCATGATCAATGATTCTATTGTATTACAAGTCATTACCATAAAGTACAATGGGACAAAAACCTTAGCACAAGCCCCACACTTGAAAAACACTAATACAGCCAATACCGGATGGACATAAGATACGATATACTGAAACTGTGAGATCAAGAGGAACAGCTCTGAGAGCCAATAAATCAGCATTGTGATGAGTGACTATTAATCTGGTTAGATCTGTCATTATCTCAACCCCTCGTGCCCCACGTTGGGCGCCAAAAAGAACTGTCGTGGTTTAAACCCAGTCAGGCAACTTGTTCACTCACTCCCAGTGAGTGGTGCTGGGCTGACAACAATCGAGGCCCCCCCCGCACCGGGGCTCTCCCATTCCCCGCTCCCGGAGGGATGGGGAGGAGGATCGAAAGAGTGCAACTCCCATGGTTTGAGACAAGAACAGTCCAGCAACCAATGTACAACACAAATCACCACTGCTACCACCAATGACAACAATGATAAGGGAAAATAACAAGGGAAGAGAATACGATACCACCAGCCAAGAAACGAGTCCCACCCGGAAGCCTGTGTCCTTCCGGGTAACTCCCAGTTACCCCCCACCCCGGGCATGATGTGCTGTGGTATGGAATACCTCCTTGGCTAGCCTGGGTCAGGCTCCCTGTCTCTGCTTCCTCACAGCTTCCCCTCCTCGCTGGCAGAGCATGAGCCTCACAAAGTCCTTGGTCAGGGTAAACATCACTTAGCAACAACCGAAAATGTCGGTTTCACCAACATTGTTCCCAGGCTGGAAGTCAAAATACAGCACTGCACCAGCTACCACAAAGGAGAAACATGACTGCTACTGCTGAACCCAGGACAGTTGTCTTTTTTTGTTGTTTAATTGTGTGGCGCATGGTATTTTCCAAGAATGCCTTTTCTAAAGAGGAGGCTCAATCTGTGTTTGCATCAAAAGCCTTTATTCGTTAATTAAAAAAATTGCACATCCTTTTGCAGTAAAAGATCTTGAAGCATTCCAAAGCTGGCTAATATCATTTCATATTTCTGTGTATGTAATTTTACAGGTGAGGAACAGGAGGCCAGATAGTTGAATCTGCCGTTGACCCATAGTGGCACAGTTCCAACACACCTTACTTTCAGCCTGAGGATATCTTTTCTTTAACTGTGCTTCCTATGGCTTCTGTAACACAGAAGTCATTAAGGCTGCTTAGAATGATTAGTTTATTTGCCAAAAGCAGAGTAGCACTGTTGCAACTCAGAAGTCCATGCACTCTTAGCTGGAACTACTTTTCAGAATCATTCCCTGATGTTTGGCTGTTCTGTTGAAGTCACTTTTGAACAGAGCAACATCTCTTTCAGTATAAAGAACAAAATGGGCTTGCTGTGGATTGCCTTTCAAGCACCATTCTTTTGTTCTTGTTGTTACTAAACAAGGGTGCAGCTGTCACTAAAATACAAAAACCTGCATTTCACAAGTAAAGGCCTAGGGTTTGTTTGTGGGGTTTTTATTTGTTTGTTTTGGTGTTTTGCTTCTTTGTTTGGTTTTAATTTTATTTTTGAAACAAAAATGTGTTTGTATGTGCCCAGGGTTCATCTGTTACTTAAAAATCCAGGAATGACCAGCAACATGCCTTCACATGCACTACTTTGCTCATCAGGGTCACCTTTTCTGTATAGGTATTTTGCTGGAGTCATATGAGGAGAATTCTGCTATGGGTAGTGGAAATGCTTTGAAGTATTGAGAAAATGCCTCACAAATAGATGCTGAATGAGTGATATGTAAAACATTTAAAAATAGTGTCTGATGCAGAAGGTATCATCTAGGAACATTCCTTCTGACACACAGGCAGTGATACACTGGAAAAAAAAAGAAAGGTGGCAAATTGAAGCTGTCAGAAGTGAATATTTAACTGCAGCTACTGTATTAGCAGGATCAAAATTGGACTGTACAGCTATATGGATAACTAAAGTGTGGAAATGTCATGGAAATATTCTAGGTGTTCAATGATAATGAATAGCCTTGATATAATGGGCAAGAACCATATGTTAGAAATAAACCTTATTTCTGAGGATGTATACCTCTATGCTTTGTAATAAAATAAACCTCTCCTTTTAAATTATCTTTATAGATAAATTCCCTGGAAGCGTGTGATTTTATAGTGCTTACAAGGCTTCCTACAGTGAGCTTCAGGGTAGTGAAAGTTGTCAAGTAATTTGTATTGGACAGGAAGGACTTCTGATTTGATTGCTGTAGTGCTGAAGTGGAATATATAGTTCTGACAGGAAAAGAATGCGGCAGAGATGGATTGTTTTTTTGTGTTTTGGTTTGTTTGGTTTGGGGCTGTGTTGTTTTTTTTTTTGTTTGTTTTTTTTTTTTTTTTTCCCTAATTAGCTTTAGTCTTTAAGACTGATTTGGCAGTGTGTGTACCTATGTGGTGTTGGATCATCATGTAATATATATTAATGGAGTCTTTACATATTATTAATTGGACATTAGTTTAAGATCACTGGGTATGAAAGCCTAAATGAATGCAAAATAGATGAAAGTTGTAACAAATGGCAATACTGTAATTTTAATATGCTTTAATGATCACCTTGATATGGGGCTGACAGCTTTTAAGTGTACTTGTAAAGTTGCTAAAGATTCTAAACTTTTTGCTTTGTGTGCAGCTTATAAATGATCTGGGATCCATCACCCCAAGCAAAGAGTTGTTTTTCTTTACGATTGTAATGTATAGTGGAATGGCTACCCTGACGCTTTGGAAAATGCAATACTGGGATTTCATAAGTATTTACAGCATCCAAAACATCATAAACACATTGTATGCGAGAGGTGCCTCCACTTGGAAAGTTGTAGACAACATAGAGTGTGTTGCATATCATGAAAGCTGCTTCAGCATCCTTGCTATTGCATGATGTGTCCCAGGTGTGCTCTACTGTCATGGTTATGTGGTTGATTTTAGTGATTACAATGTTTCCTTCAGTCTCTGGTTCTGCATGTATTGCCCAGAGCCCTTGCTCATCAATGGCAAGATCTATTTTTGTAGGTGGAGAAAGCTGATAAGCAGGAATTCTTCCAGCCCCTGGCAATAGCATTTGGTCAGTTATGTTTCTTTTCTGGATATTGAATTTAATTATTTCATTTAAGGAGCCGTATTTGTGATAGAACAGGAAACCCTGGTATATGATGTGGCCAGTTCCTTGCCAGGGAAATGGCAAGGTGACTTTGTGAGCTTTTAGCATATGATTGCTTTCCATGAATGTCATGATATTTGAAAATTCCAAAATAACATTATTTACAGAACCATTGAATAAATAGATCTTTGCATGCTTTTTGCCAGGATCTTTCATCCAAGAGCCATGCTTATCTCCAGTCTTCTTAAGTATCTTTAGGGACTTAATACCTGAAAGCATGTGGTCGCAACCTGCAAAGAAACACCCAAATACAAGAAAACAAATAATTAGAATATCCTTCCTTTGAATTACTTAGTTTCCTTTTAATCCTGCTATAAGACGTATGTTAATATAACAGTAAAGGTGTCAGCAGCATGGCTATGAAAAGTAGTGTTGAAGCTAATTTTACATAATATATTCAGCATCTCCTCCTAAGGAAACTGCATATCTTCATTGCAATAGTGTGTTCTTTCCTACTCTATTAGACCAGTGTTATCCAAAAAAGATTCTATTTGTGTACCTGAAAAGTGAGCAAGAGCATAGTCAGTGATTCTATGATTATTCCTGTCAGATCTTACAGGGCTTTAATTTTTATTTCAGAGAAGTTACTTCTGCTTTAAATCAACGCAATAAAATAATCAAACTTATTTCTTATTGAAGGCATACTAATTAAAATCCATTTTCGTGGTATGCCAGGTGTGTAGGGCTTTTTTTGTTTCAGGAGTTCTCTTATTGTCTGTTAGCCTCTTTTATTATTTTTTTAATAATAAGTCAAATAAAAAGAGATCATTATACAAGAAAGTCAAAACATTCGGTAATCTTACCATTCCCCTTCTCAACACCTGCAAAACAAAGGAACTAGGACAAATATATATATCACAATTAATTCTGAATGCCTATACATTAAGGTGAGCTTTAAACTGTGTTATCAATTCTTACGCTACAAGCATGGCCTATAGATTTATGTAATTGATTAGCTTGCTATAGGCACAAAATTGGCACCATCAGAGAGCAAGTCATAGTTTTGTATGCACTTTGTATGCACTTCATTACATTTTGTATGCACTTTCAACAGATGTTTGAGACCAAAAAACCACCACATTTGTCAAAAACTTGGACATCCAGATGCCAAGATCTTTATCCAGTATCATCCTTTTCAGGAAAAATTCTGCTGCAAAGCATATTAACAAACTCTTTTACCAAAGGCACTCATAAATTACAAGAGACAGTATTTGAAGTTTAAAGAATTGCCTTTAGTGAAGTACATCCATTTTAGTAAACAGAACATAGCCCTAAGGCAGAAAGTTCTGGCAGTAGATGAAATAAGGAAAGCAAAACCGGCCTCACTGTTTGGCCTGATATCACAGTATCACAGTATGCTAGAGATTGGAAGGGACCTCAAGAGATCATCTAGTCCAATCCCCCTGCCGGAGCAGGAACACCTAGATAATGTTACACAGGAATGTGTCCAGGCAAGTTTTGAATGTCTCCAGGGAAGGAGACTCCACAACCTCCCTGGGCAGCCTGTTCCAGTGTTCCGTCACCCTCACTGAGAAGAAGTTTCTTCTCAAGTTTAAGTGGAACCTCTTGTGTTCCAGTTTGTACCCATTACCCCTTGTCCTATCATTGTTTGCCACTGAGTAGAGCCTGGCTCCATCCTTGTGACACTCCCCCTTTATATATTTATATACACTAATAAGGTCACCCCTCAGTCTCCTCTTCTCCAAACTATAGAGACCCAGCTCCCTCAGTCTTTCCTCATAAGGGAGATGCTCCACTCCCTTAATCATCTTCGTTGCCCTGCACTGGACTCTCTCCAGCAGCTCCCTGTCCTTCTTGAACTGAGGGGCCCAGAACTGGACACAATATTCCAGATGGGGTCTCACCAGGGCAGAGTAGAGGGGAAGCAGGACCTCTCTTGACCTACTAACCACCCTCCTTCTAATACACCCCAGAATGCCATTGGCCTTCTTGGCCACAAGGGCAGAGTGTTGGCTCATGGTCATCCTGTCGTCCACTAGGACCCCCAGGTCCCTCTCCCCTACACTGCTCTCTAACAGGTCGTTCCCCAACCTATACTGGAACCCGGGGTTGTTCCTGTCCAGATGCAGGACTCTACACTTTCCCTTGTTATATTTCATCCAGTTATTCCCTGCCCAACTCTCCAGCCTGTCCAGGTCTCGCTGGATGGCAGCACAGCCTTCTGGCGTGTCAGCCACTCCTCCCAGCTTAGTGTCATCAACAAACTTGCTGATAGTACACTCAATTCCCTCATCTAAATCATTGATGAATATATTAAATAATACTGGTCCCAGTACTGACCCTTGAGGCACTCCACTGGTTACAGGCCTCCAACTAGGCTCCGCCCCATAGACTACAACTCTCTGTCTTCTCTCCTTCAGCCACTTCACAATCCACCTCACTACCTGGTCATCCAGACCACACTTCCTCAATTTAGCTGTGAGGATGCTGTGGGCAACTGTGTCAAATGCTTTGCTGAAGTCAAGGTAGACCACCTCCACCGCTCTGCCATCATCCATCCACCGTGTTATTTCCTCATAAAAGGCTAAGAGATTGGTCAAGCATGATTTCCCCTTGGTGAAGCCATGTTGACTGCCCCTCATAACCCTCTTATCCTTGATATGCCTTAAGATGGCACCAAGGATAAGGTGTTCCATCACTTTCCCAGGGATGGAGGTGAGGCTGACCGGTCTATAGTTACCCGGGTCCTCCTTCTTGCCCCTTTTGAAGACTGGAGTGACATTTGCTTTCCTCCAGTCCTCAGGCACCTCTCCCGTTTCCCAAGACTTGGTAAAGATGATGGAGAGTGGTCTAGCAATGACTTCCGCCAGTTCCCTCAGCACCCGCGGGTGCATCCCATCTGGACCCATGGATTTATGGATGTCCAGATTGCTCAACTGGTCTCTAACCCATTCCTCATCGACTAAGGCAAACCGCTCCGTTGACCTGACTTCATCTAAGGCCTCAGGGGTACAGGGCTCTTCAGGACTGAACCTCTTGAAGTCAGTGGCAGGATTCCAGTTGTCTGTAGAGAGCAACCTTTATGTCATTTGTGTGTACTGATACCCTCTAATCAAAGCATTTAGATACACTGCTACAGCATGATTTTTTTTCTCGAGAGTTCTCACTCTAAGATTCACCTTCCTTGAGCAATCTTTCCCAAAGCTAATATTTATTGATCAGATAGATTCTAAAAACTTAAAAAACCTGTTGAATGCAAATACCTAGCTAGCCTTAGCACTATCTTCCTCTGCAGGAGAGATAACATGATTGCCAACTGAAGTCTATGAATAATATCTCTCTTTTTGAGAGATTTTTCACTCTCTGGCTTTCATAACAGCTTGGAGGAAGACTGCGAAACAGAGGCATTTACAGTGGGAAAAAAGTTTACTATTTTTTTTCCACATTCTCCACAATAATATCTTCAAAGCTCACTGTTTCTTATCATACGACAAAATGCACAGATCATTTCCCATTTCCTACCAAAGCAGGATGAGGTGTCAGCTACTGCATGTAAAAACAGTAATTCTACTTGATTGTTATTTTCAAGTCCATGTGAACTTGAACCAAAAACAAAGTTGGACTTAAACCACATTTTTTTGCTAGAGTTTTGGAACAGCCCAGCAAAAATAATTGTATCTTCTGGCTAATATATGATAACATAGAAGCAGAGCTGCTATTTGCTAGGTCTTGCTACTTTTTCTAAGTGCTGCACAGGGACTAGTTTTACCATAGGCATCACTGGGTCAAGCATCTGACTAGTACTGATGAAAGTAAAGTTGCTATGAAGTGTTGCAATAAAATTAATAATTTCCAATAAGGGAAATGGAAAGTAATTTCTTTCCCTCTAAAACTTGTAAAGATATATTTTTCAAAGTGTCCTTACCACAGTCAGTTTAAGAATCCTACATTTTTTCTGCCTCAAAAAAATGGCTAATATTCAAAAAAATCTATGTATGGAAAAAGAAATCTTGATATTCAGAGCATTCAACTGTGATACTAGATCTTAGAACCAGAATAGGTGATTGTTTCTGTTACCATCTGCCTTATTAATCTTTTATTATAAGTTATAAACTTATTTGTAAAATTAAATCTAATTATGTTGAAGGTAATAGAATTGTGGAAATAATGATGCTAAAGATCTTTCACCCAGCTTTAAAAAAAAAAAAGCAGTTTATATTTCTTACTTGTTTAATCTCTTGCTACTTTTGAATGAAAATGAAACAGAGTACTTCAAATATGTCTACAATACATAATTTACATCTATAACCAACTTTCTTAAGGCAAAGATACCTATAAAACTTTTTTTTAAGGTATAGGTTGTGTATTTATTTTTCATACTAAGTACCTTAAGACTTAATTTTCAGATGTGAACTGAGCTCTGCTTGCAGCTAAACCAGTGTGTTCTCATGACAAAATACATGGAGGGGAGAGGGAGAGAAAGAATAACAGAGGACAGTAAAACAGACACAGATTGTAGGAATTAATTAAGTCCTTTTATTACGTTGTTAGCTCACCTTTGAGTTGAGCTTTTGACCCCTGCTCACGCCAATAAACAAAGACCACCATCAATTTCTTGGTATAGCTGCAATACTCGGAAATGCACTGGCATATTTTCTGTGACTTTGCAAGAGTGTACCTTCAGAGGCTTTTTACATAACTTTATAATAAAAAGCAGCTTCCAACAAACCATTTTGATACGCAGCAGAGTATCTGCAAAATAAGTGTTTGAACTGTGCTTTCTTCCTTCCCTCTCCCATGCTATTTTTGTAGTGGGTTTTTCTTTTTTTTCTTTTTTATTATTTTTGTCTAATATTTACACAGGCAAAGCTCCCTGCAATTATCTGTGGTATTCACATAACTTGTGGAAATCTGTTATCCCTGTATCACCATGCATGCACTGGCGCATTCATATCAAAGTTCTGAAAAGTAGACTGTTCTTACTTGCATTAAGCATGAGCTTAAGTTTCTTTTTTGTTTCTGCTTCTTCAAATAGCTGCTGTTTCACCAGGTCTTCATGTACTTCTATACATGTATTAGAAACTGCGACAGATCCAAAGTAGTCAATGTCCCCCTGTGCTCGTTCAATTCTTGTTAGCAAATTCTCTACTTCACTTTTAACCTCAGCCTTGTAACTGTTCAGTCTTGCCAGGCGTGCCAGTACCATCTTTGAAAAGTCTCGAAATTCTTCCACGTAATCCAGTATGTCTTGGTTGCATTTTTCCAGCCTCTTCTTGAGTTAGAACACAGGAAGGAAATACATGGATAGACATGTATATTCTGATATATGATTACAACCTCATTCATGATTACTTTAAAGACTGCACTATTCTTTCCTTTCCAGTCCCCCTGCCCCCCATCTGTTTCAAACTGCTGGTCTGTCACTGTTTATTTACATGAAATGGACATATTAGACTAGTATTAGCATTCACAACTCTGGACAGAAAAAAGCCACAGTTGTTTTCTTGATGTGGTTACTGACCACCAGATACTTTGTTTTGGTGCCTAAAGTGGGGAAAGTGCTCTGGTGGAAACAGCCAGAGACACTTAAGTGCACATGATCTCTAACTGCCTGCTTTCCAGAAACTTTTCAGAACTCCTGCTGTATGACCATTGGTGAAGTAGTCACTAAAGTTTTTCTGATGGAAATCTAAAACGTGAACATTTCACATAAATACACCCCTTCTGACCAAGAGAGTATCTAGTGTGGCTGGTTTTCATTTATTTAAAATGAAAAATCGAAATCCTATGTTTGAGAAGGTTGAGAAGGTTTGCTGTATTTAAAAACAAAACAAACCCAGCAACAGATCTTTCTTTATACCTAGATTCAAATTATCAGTGTTTTTAAAGGTGAGGAAACTGGTTTCTCGGTTCTAAAGCAGCCACTTTTGTGAAGATCATAGGTGGCCTGAAAACAGAAGCCCAACTGCCACTTTGAGAAGGTGAGAAAACTGAACCGATACATAAACCCAAACACAGAATCACAGTAGACCTAACTTGGTTGTTCTGATTTGGTCTTTTAAGCACAGGTTTCATGCGTTTTACTTAAGGTGGTGTTTGAATAGGGGACGTCTGAGTTTGCTAAATGAGTTTGCAGTGTACAGGTGTTCCAAGGATACTTGGAAGTGGTGGTTTGTTTGTTTTGAAAAGTGCTCATTGTGTCGTGTCCTCCTTCCCCCCCCCCCCCCCCCCCCCATATGTGACCATAAGTTTCATAAGTTTCCAGGATGTGGTACTTTCTACAATTTTAAGTATTTTCAGGTGTTTTCTTCAATAGCTGCCTCACCCTTGTTCTTTGTTTCTTGCCTCTTGCACCAAATGCCACAAGTAGAATTGTGTCATTTTTAACGGGTGCTAAATGGATGGAAATTAGCATGTGAAGTTATTCCTACAGTGGCTAAGAAAAATTAAATCTTAGTCTATACAATGGGAACAGACTACCAGGCTAATCCTTCTGTTTTTTGTGTTGTGATAAGACCAGTGAGAGCTTTTTACAAAAAGGGAATGCAAGATCAGGCAAGTTAAAGCTTCTCTAAGAGTCTGCAATACAAGTCAGGAGCCAAGGACATGTTAATGATTTAAAACTTACTATGTATGATTACAGCATGCCAATACTGAAAAGGTATTTTGAAGTTCTGGTAGTTTTCTTCTGCAGAAAAAGAAGGTGGTACTGGTGCTTTTGTATAATTAATGGAAAGCAAATGTCTATTTCAGCCTTGCAGCTCTAAGAGAATTATTTCAGCTCGTAGTTAAAATGCAAATATGCTGCTAGTTTACACAAATGTGTCTTCAAGATTTTCCTGGTAGGCTCATCTGTACAAAGAAAAAATACCTGCTATCTATTAATGTCCTTATTGTCTTTATTAGCTCTTCTACTGGTAACAATACAGTTACACTGTTCCCTATGATGGACTGTGACAGCACTATAAATATTTGCATATTTAGCTAAATTCACTGATGTAAAAAAATACAAGTGATAACAGAATAAGAATATAACATTATGAAATCATATCCTGTGGCAAATAATAATGTGGTAATTAGGAATCATTATAGTTAAAGGTTTAGCTACAATTTTACTTACTTGAAAAAGCTGGAAATTTATCTCCCTTATATTGTTTACCATGCAACTGTGTGTTCATATACATAGAAGAAACTTCATATATTTTCAAACCTCTTTGCAGTTAGGCAGTATTGCAGAATTATACAACTAGCACATACCTCTAAAGACAGGAAACGCCGGTCAATGTAGTTCATCAGCACTGCATCTTGCATCATATATTGTGCCGCTCCCATGGTGCTTGTGAGCAAAGGAACTAATAAAAATTGAAGTTGCAAGACTACCATTGTTTCATAAAATTCTGAAGCAAAATAGTAGTGAATTAAGTGTGTGTGTGTGTGTGTGTGTGTATGGCAATCCCAAACACTACTGCCAGTCCAGGATTAAATGCAATTTAAGAGTTGTCTGATGCCATGATGTGAAAAAGTAATACTAAAAATTACTAAGAAGTTAAAAATACTGCGGCTGCAAGTATTAAAAAGACTTAAAATGGCAGTTGCAGTTTGTCATTAAAAAAATAAATTGTGGAAGAGGAACTGAATGTGTTTATTTCTAGAAGCCATATGACTGTTTTCCAGTCTGTGATCCTCTGATCAATCCCAGATGTTCAGTACTGAGTCACATAAAGCCTGCAGGCCAAATTTTATTAAATACAAATAAAAATAATTTGTTTTCCTTTCTTTTTCCTCCCATCTGCCTTCCCATGTGACCAACACTGTGCAGTATGTAGCTGGTCTAAGTCAGCATAGATTCAAAGTCAGTGGAGCACTGGTCATTCCTTAACAGGGAGATCTGCATAATGTCTGTAGCTATTTCAACAACCACAGCTGTTACTGTAAAACAATCTAAAGCAATTGTTTTCACTTCCAGAATTCAGCCTATTTGTAGTAGGACAGTAGGACTAAAAAAATATTTTTATTTTTTTCCTTGTCCTTCAGTACTTTTCCAGATAAAATCAAAATACTTAACACAGTTTTGTGTCAATTTAATGTAGTCCTTGCTGGGTCTCTTATTTTGCAACAATAATTCCACTCAGGATGATTTAAAAATTAACTATAATTAAATTTCATGGGTCTATTGCATTTGAGGAAATATTTATTTATTCTTTTTCACCATTTCCATGAGTGAAAGCCTTCTCTGGAAATATACGTGGCTATGCTAACACTGTATTTGCTAGGAAACTATGTGTTAGGATGTCAGAAAGCTCTTTGTATCTGAAGCCAAACAGGATGTCTCTGTTTGTCTTTCTCAGAATTCTCCACCTCTTCACTGTTTTTAAATACCATTTTTTTTTCTCTATGTTTCTTTTCCCTTCATACTTACACAGCCTTTTTTTTTTTTCTTTCTGACTACCTTGTATGTGAGCATGTGTTTTGTGCCAGAATTCAGGAAAATGTGACACAGCAGGCAGCTTTTTACTTCCATTTGCTTGGTTGTTGCAAGGTATGCATGCTTTACAGGCAAATTTTACAGAAATGCATAGATAAGTATTTTTCATTTAATATTGCTTTATCTTAAAAGGCATAAATAATTTGCCAGTTTCTATTTAAAGGTGAAATCGGTGATGCGCAAAGATTTCTATACCAAGTGATGCACTTGGTTATATACTCCAGTGTTATTTCACTTTATTCCAGAACTTGTGTCTGGGAGGACAAAAAGCTTACTTGCTTGGATCCTTAAAGCATTATGCACTGAGAACAGACATCCTAGGAAGTGTGGTCTTTCTTGATTATGTCCTATGGTATGTCTTGACAAAGTGTGCGGTCTTCCACAGAACGATCAGCTTCGACACTAGAGCAGAATGCAGAAAACCAATTCCTTTTGTAAGTTCTTAAGTGAACCTGGAATCCTTCTGAGTTGTTCTCTGAGTTTGGTATGTCTATCACAATAATCTAAGGTAATGATCAGGAGATGAAAACTATGGAATTCAATAGGTTGATTTCTTCATTTAGTGGAGGGTGGATTCTTGTAAAAGAAAATCTATCACGGTTTGCCTGCCCTATGGAACAAGCCTGACTTAAGTCGTGATTGCAAGTCCTATCTTAAGGTAATGTGAAGCAGCAACTCAACTTTATGACTTTTAATGTTCTTTTTCACTGCAGTTTGTAATCTAGGTTGCCATCTAATATAAGGCAGTAGTCTCTTGGAGTATGGTGAAACATCAGTCCAGGCAGAACTCCTTACTGAAAGTTTTTCCTTAGAATAGATATTGCATATTTTTTTTTATAATTGCAGACAATTCTTCAGACTTCACTAGATGAACAGTGCCATTTATCAGTTTCACAGCAACTTTATTTGAATCCAGACACCTAACCAAATAAAATGACCTAAGCAAAATATAACAAACTTTTAAGAAAACATACTTAAAAGTCAAGATTTAAATATATAGTTTCTTTCTTTCATCTTAAAAAAGGGACAAATTATCTACAAAGCAAAATAGTTTGAACTGCTAAGCATACTTTATAAGGTTAAGCATATTGCATTAGAAACTGGATTTTCTAATATTGCTCCATCATTGCTTAGAAATGCCAGCAGTTGAAAGACCAGAATGTTTGAAGGATTTCTCTTAATGAGACATTCCCATGCTTATTAAACTATGTTCTCAGGTAAATGGCAATGATGGTCCATGTCAGATGCTGTATTCTGGGAAGGCATGTTATAGCATCTGGTTAAGAATGGAGCTTTGTTGGTGTTTTTTGGTTTTTGTGTTTTTTTTTAATTTATTTGTCATATATTTTCCAGTTCTGTTCCGTCTAGATATATTCATATACATTTTTCCCAGCTACATATTAGCTGTATATGTAATAAATATATATACATTTATGATAATAATTTAAAGCAGGATTGCTTGGCATGCCTGGGAAGAAATTCACCTCACTGCACAGGATGTTACATGCCAACAGAGCAGAAAGATTATTCTTATCTCAAGGAACACTTTTTCTCTTATGAAATACTCCTGGAATAGGTTTCTTATTACTATCTCGACTTGACAGGCAAACTTCTAAAAGGAAACATGTCAGTATAAGTGTATATGCCTTTTCATTGTTTTTGTCCTCTCTCTGGGTAAGACAGTATTCTTTTCCTGTCATTGGTGCTTCTTTGCTGCACTTATGCGACATTTTTACCATTTGTTGTCTCTGTTTTGACAGCTGTTTGAGGTTTCCAAATGAAAAATAGGCATTTTCAGTTCCTCATCTATGTCATGGTTTTGATTTCAGATACTGGATGTGGAAAAAATGTCATTTCTTTAAGATATTATTTAATTCTTACACGACTACACACTATTTTTGTTGGTGTTTCTGTTTTAAAAGTCAGTTTCTTTCTAGCATTTCAGTTGGTAAAACTAGAGCAGGACCACAATAAGTCAGGCTTTTTGCAGCAACATGCAGCACTCTATGGTACTTGCAAGTCCTGTTACAGTCAAGGGGGATGTAGTGAACTCTGAGTTTACTTCTCTGCAGAATCTCATTTCTGCATCATACTCATGATGGAGAAATTTTGTCTATCATGAGTGTCGTGGTTAAAGCCCAGGCCGTAAATCAGAACCATGCAGTCTACTCCCCCCCCCCCCCCCCCCCCCCCCTTTCTTTCCCTCGCTCCCGGAGGGATGGGAAGGACAATCAAAAGAATGCAAATCCCACGGGTTGAGGTAAGAACAGTCCAGTAACTAAGGTATAACACAAATCACTACCACTACCACCAATTATAATAATGATAATGGATATAACAAGGGAAGAGGATACAATACTGCCCACTGATACCCAGCCTGACCAAGCAGTGCACTAGCCCTTCCGGGTAAGTCTCAGTTTACTTCCTGGGCATGACGTGCTGTGGTATGGAGTAACTCTCTGGCTACTTTGAGTCAGGTGTCCTGTCTCTGCTTCCTCCTGGCTTCCCCTCCTCCTTGGCAGAGCATGAGACTCAGGAAGTCCTTGGTCAGACCAAACATTTGGGCAGTAACTAAAAACATCGGTGTTATCAGATCTGTTCCCAGGCTGAAAGTCAAAAACACAGCACTGCACCTGCTACTAAGAAGGAGAAAAAATGTTTGCTACTGCTGAACCCAGGACAATGAGATAGAGCCTCAGCCATGGAGACCTGGAGATTACTGCTCAAGGCACTTCCTTGCCTTGTCAGAAATGAGTCTCTCTGATTTGTTGCAGAACTCCAGCTCTTCCACATCACTGTTGTAGCTTCCTGTTCCTCATCTTCATCAGTCTTTTGACTTACCTCCAGTCCCGCTGAATCTTCCTGTAGGCATGCCTTAGTTCCTCACAGGAACCACGAGACACAATTGTTGTCCCACCAGAGTCATAACACATAAACCTCATTGTGTCATTGTTGGGTCTGTCCATGTCTGTGATGCTAATAGACTCACAGTGTGCACTGTAAACACAGCTTCACATTTTTCTTTTTGAGCTTTGGAAACATCCCTGACTCCCAAGCTCCCTCACTTTTCTTCCTTGGCTTTTACTTCCTGTCCTAACGCTATTCCTAATGCTGTTTCTAATGCTCTCTTAATGATGTAGGAAAATATTATTTTCCCACCTGAAAAAGGTGGGAAGACCCCACTCCTGTGTCTTAGATCTAAGTAATACACATATACATATAGATACAGATATAGGTACAGATATAGATATAGATACAGATATATGTATACATCAGGTTTTACTCCTGAAGACAAGGCTGGCTTAAAACAGGGCTGGTTATGTTATTCGTCTTTGGTTTACCTCTACATGTAAAACAATAATAGATAGATTAAAAGAAAGCATCAGACACAGTCTGATTTACAGCTTTCTACATTACTGACCTTGTACAAACATTCAATAGAATAAGTGCTACTCAGTCTGATGCATCAGTGATACATGAGTGCATATGTGCCTCATGGTTTTGTATCTCATGATCATTAATCAAATGTGTTACAAGCAAAACAAAAGAAAAAGGTATAGCTATCTGAAATAATGGGATTTTGTTTGTAATTGCGATTTTGCTTAGTTTACAGTTGCCTAATTCATCAAGTTTTGGTGCTGATAAAAAATAATGATACATTATATTATATATAGTGTATCGCCTTCTGTATTTTCTATTTTTGTTCAGACTTAGGTCTACAGAGTCACATTCCTTGTTAGTACTGGCCACTATACCGTTGATGTAGGTTGTCTAATGCTGGGATCTGTGAGGTTAGAAAATATTTTTGTCATTGATTCCAATTAATTAATTCCAATTAATCCAACATTTTCAATTCTGTCTTAGTTTTTGTAAAGTACTTTCAATTTTATATATTAGAGGGTGATTCACATTTCTGTAAAAAAGACAAACATATGAAATCTAGTTGGCATCCTTAAGTGGTGTTCAGCTACAAGAATAGTGTCAGTAGTGATACCAGTAAGGAATGTAACACACTGTGATAAAGACTGCTGCATTTTGGGATTCAGAGAAAGTCCTCCACTAGGCGGCTCTCAAGTCTTTAGAATTGAAAGGCAAACGTCACTGAAACACATTATTGCCAAACTCTGAATGGGATAAACCATGCTTAAGCAAGTATGATTCAGATGGTCCAAAATGATAGAGAGAAACATAGTTATTGATTACATCTTTTCTTAAGTATTTTTCTACGTAAAATCACTTTCTACCCCATGTATATGAGTGAAGCAAGAGCTGGGTGCCTGCAACTGCAGAGACAGGCATTAGTGCATATGAAGCCAGGAAAAGGAGTCAGGACAAGGTGGAAAGCCTTT